ATCTGCATAGCAATGAATGTTACGGGCTTGCAACATATCATTGATATGCAGAAGAAACTGCGTTGGCGATAGCACGCAGCCTTGTGGAACACCAACATTAATAGGCTTGTAATCGGAGCTTGCACCGTATACAACGACCTTGATGCTCTGATTTGCAAGAAAGCTGGTGATCCAATCGCACAATTTCTCGGGAAGCCCATAGGAAGGGAGCTTCGAAAGAAGCGCTTTGTGCCAAACCCGATCGAAGGCCTTCGCAATGTCCAAACTAACGGCCAATGCCTCCCCCTTGGAATCTACTGCCTCCGCCCATCTAGGAGTGAGGTAGACTAGAAGATCACTAGCTAATCGAACACGATGAAAACCATACTGGCGATCACTAATCAGCTGGTGATCCTCAAGGTACCTCATGAGCTGTAAGTTGACAATGGACTCCATTGTTTTGGAGAAAAAAGAGGTGATGGCGATAAGCCGGTAGTTGGACGGGTCTTGGCGGTCGCTTTTTTAGGGATCGGGTGGACGAAAGCCGTCTTTCATGATTTCGGGGCTACGCCTAGAGAGTTGGAGTACCGGAAAAGAAGCGTTAAAACCGGTGCCAACTCTGGAGCACACGTCCTCAGCACAATTGTGGGGATTCCGTCAGGCCCACTCGACTCGTGGACGTCCAGGGAGAGGAGTGCTTTGCGAACCGAGGGCTATGTGAACTGCACTTCCGGCATGGAGCATTCACACCGCGAGATGGTCGGAGGCGTACTCCCCCCGTCGTCGAGAGTCGAGTTGGACGCAAAGAAAGAGCCTAGCAGATCGGCTTTCTCCTTTGCGGTGTGGACCAGTAAGTCGTCCTCCCAGTGCAGAGTGGAAGAGATGGCTGAGGAAGGCGAACTATTTTTTCGCCAATTCTACCTGTATGCTCTGACTTTTCCTTGGCAATGACTCTTTTGAAGGACCTAGAGGCGGAATTATACTTCTTTTTTAGAGCGTTGGTGTTTACATCCTGGGACGTTGATGCTTCAGCTCAGGATTGGTAGCACTCCTGCTTATATAATGATGCTATTTTACAGGAGCGACCAAACCATGTCTGAGATTTGCCTCCAATGGGCACCACAGAGGAAGGAATAAAAAGTTCCACACCCGGAAGTACCACATCAGCGACAGAATCCGCAACAACGTTGGGATCGTCTGGCGAGAAGCGAACCCGCCCCCAAGGGTAGGATGCATAGAAAGACCGCATTCCATCCCAATCGGCTGACCTATAGTGCCAAACACGGCGGCAGCCTGCAGAATACAACTGCGATTTCAATGTTAGTGGCACCACATTCCGGACAAGACAATGGTCCGAGAAGCCCAAAGGGGCGTCAACGGAAATCTGATATCCGTCCGGGTGAGAGGTCAGAAGATCCAACAGGGAAAGTGCAGGATCCTCCACATCTGGAATTCACGTAGGCGAAGTAACCAGTTGTGTCAGACCATATGTCAAGGCAAAATTATGAACAGATCTCCCCGCATGATCGGTCAAACGTGAACCAAGCAATTCGGCGTGATGGGCGTTAAAGTCGCCGAGGATCACGATCTCTCCGGAGGGGATCTGCTGTAGCAACGAATCTGTAGCCACTTGGACGTGGTCAAAGAGTCGTTCTGTTTCGCCATTACCGCTATGGGACCCATAGAGGCACCCATAGACGCGCGAATGGTCGTCACTGTCTACGCGTAGGCAAAGTATGGATAGGTCCGAAACTTCAAGTCTGCAGAGGGGTCGAGAACAGATGTCCTCTCTAACGTAAACGCAAATTCCAGCCCGAGGCATAAAGGAGTATTCCAGTTTGTGTACCCCGGGTAGGAGAGATACGATACATCAGCCGGAGAGGACACCTGCGTCTCGGTCAGAAAGAGCAGAGCCGGCCTCGTCGTCTCGAGATGGTAGTGGACGGCGGAAGTCCCCTGATATTGCAGAAATTCACGGATTGCGTGACAAGAGACGCCTTGGTCTTGTTGCTCCGTTTGCCCCGAGCAGTTGTAGTCTTGAGCGGAATTTTGCCCCCTCAGAATACGCGAGGCAGCCTAAGCATCCACGCTCAGAAGTGGAGAAACATGGTCGTAAATGCTCAGCGAGGGATTCTCCAGGGGTGCTGGTAACCTTCTGGGGTAGTCTATTATTTAATTCCGCTACCATGTTGATGGGGGGGGGGATTTGGGCCTCCGGCCACCTGCACTCATCAGACGAAACGCGGAAGTAGAGCTTCTACTTCACCCCGTTATTCTGAGACGTGGTTGTGACATATACCAATATGTATATTGACAGTATCCACGATAACTTCCAAAGGGAAAGAGACTGCTTACCTAAGGATTTGGTAGAATTGAAGGCTCTACTTGGGCTTCTTTATTACTGTGGAAAGCTTTGTGGAGTGCATTTGAACACCATGGATTTCTGGGCAACTGACGGCACTGGATCAGACGTGTGCATAGCCACGACAAAGATTTCATTTTTTACTTCGTTGGCTTAGGTTTGGTAATCCAAATACATGCGAACAGAGGAGACAAAATGATAAACTGGCTGCAATTAGAGATTTATTTACCAAATTCGTTGAAATTATAAAGAAACATTACTCTTTCGGGGATATAATGACCATTGATGAAAAACTGAATCCATTCCGTGGTCGTTGTCCATTTCGCCAGTACATGCCAAAGAAGCCTGCCAAATACGGAATAAAAATATTTGTAATGGCTGACTCAAGAACTTACTATTCGGCATGTTTAGAAGTATACACCGGAAGACAAAATTAAGGACCACATGCTGTAAGTAACTCTCCTCCAGATGTCGTGAAACGTTTGGTTGAGCAAATAAGAGGGTCTCATCGTAACGTGGTAATGGATAATTGGTTCACGAGTATCCCATTGATGACAGAATTGTATGAAGATTATGAGCTTACGGTTGTAGGGACTCTTCGTAAAAGTAAACCAGAAATACCCCCATGCTTTGTTGCTACACGAGGACGAGAAGAATGGACTACCTACTTTAGCTTTAAGCCTAATTGTACATTAGTATCGTACTTACCAAGAAAGGGAAAAGTGGTGCTTATTGCTTCTACAATGCATCATGATGCGAAAATAGATGTTAATACAGGAGATAAACGCAAGCCAGAAGTGATAACGGATTATAAAATGCATAAATGTGGAGTGGACGTGGTTGACGAGATGTGTGGTACATATTCTGTATCAAGAGTAAGTAAAAAATGGCCACTAACGATATTTTTTGGACTTATGAATGTGGGATGTATAAATTCGTTTGTAATTTATAACGCAAATATAACGCATATAAACCAAGAACCCCTTGAAAGACGTAACTTTTTGAAAGATATAGCTTTATCCTTTGTTAAACCACAAATAGAAAAGATGTCTTCTATTACGACTCTGCCCAGACAAGTTCAGAGCAGAATGTTTCAAGTACTTGGCAGAGAAGAAAGTACGGATCAAACGGCATCGGCTGGGCCTAGTAACATTCGTGGGAGGTGTTCCACCTGCCCCCCTAAAAAAGATAGAAAATCCAAAACTCAATGCCAAATATGTAAATCTTTCATATATAGAGATCACACCGCATTTTTATGCATTAATTGTAATCAGAAAATGAGTCAAAAGTAAGATAAGATGGCAAGAAGACTAATTAGAAAACAAATAAGAAATATTTTGAGAAAGATTTTTATGAGAAGTTTGAAAGCTGATTATAAAAAAAACTTGTTATGTTAAATGTTTTATTTTATTGATTGTTTTAGGAGAAAATTTATTACTTTTTGTAAGAATAATGTTTTTTTTTTCTCAGTTATATTAGAACAAAAAAATTAGACTGTGATTCTGGTTCCTATGCATAAAAAAGTAAGAGTTAGCACTTCTCTTTGCTATTGTGATAAAAAAAATCAAAATATATAAATATTTGTGGCTCATTATTGTTTTAGTTACCCTTTTCTTTTACATTTATACAAAAAAATACAATTCCCTTTATTGGCATAGAATAATGCATTTAACTTTGGGGTCTTTTAGACCCTCACGTGACCGCTTATGTCACAAAATGAGACGCGAGTACCGGCGGGTTGATTATTGTCACTGTATATTACTAATACCAAATAAGCCACATATATTAATACATAATTAAGGTAAAAGTAAGTTGAAAATATGTCATGAACTTCATCATACAAGTTATACAAATCATTTAACAAAGTATAAGTTACATTCCATTGCCTTTCATTTATATTTGATGATTTTAAACTGCTAAGATTATTATACAAAACTGATGAAAATGCAATGACTAAAATATTAAGCCTATTAGAAAACAACCAGTAGACGACACAGTTAACAAGTAGCAGGTGGGTATTACATAAATGATATTGTTTAACAAATGGTAATAGATTTGTGCAACAAATATATATTAAAGAATTACCATATAAATAATAAAAATATGAAGTTGTAAAAAGATGTAGTTAATCATTTTTTATGAGAGATCTACTAACGGCATCAACCCCAAAAACCCGGCTCAAGTCCCTCTCCGTACGAATACGCTGACGGGGGGACTCTGCTCCCTGGTGCCGGCTTGCGTATATCCTGCCTTCCCATGTCCATATGTACCGCCATCCCAGTTTACTTCCAAATTCACGAGCTTGCCAAAAAAGTCGCCGGTTGACTTTCGTCAGTCTCTCATTGACAAAGAATCGACGGTGCGGAGTCGGTAAACCGGTGCCTTCGGTAGTGATGCTGCGATAAACGCGAGTCGCGAGTTAAGAGCGCGTTTGCCGAGCTTCATAAGTATAGGCCTCGGATGTGACTCTGGCTCAGTTTCCGAGGACACATTTACCCTACTCACGCGTGTGGCGCTGACTAAATTATTCTCAGAAAGCTTGACACCCAACTTCACGGCCAAAGTGGTGACAATGTGTATTAAGTTTTCACCCTTCTCTTCAGGGATGCTAGTGATCTCTATATCATTACACAATAGTTCCTGATCACGCTCGTTCAAATCACACGTGATTAAGTTGCTCAATTGTATCCAGCAAAGAACCAACATCGGTCGACGTACTACCATCAGCATGACGATCTTCCAGAAGACCCACACGGCCTTCTAGCTTTTCAATTTTTCTATCGGATTCATCAATTCTGAGCGTCAGAGCTGCCAAAGTGCCTGTGGCTCTCATCTCTTCTTTGAATTGACGTATCTCCATTATAAGCTTTTGCAGATCTTTTGCTGGCATAGTTTCACTCTGCGCTCTGTCGTCGTCTAATAAGTCCTGAGGACTCACTGCTGCTGCACCTCTATTTCTATTGACCCCTTCTACGCCCACACGTACCGGGGTATCTGTGTTATTGGTTTTCGGCGGTTTACTAATACATACATTCTGCCATGCTGTTAAATTGGCTCAATTTAATGTTTGCACATTGGAGGTCGTAGGGCTGTTGACACCTACTGCATCGAAGATGTTTCTTTGCCACAATTGGGTTTCAGCAACCAGTACAATCAATTTTATTCGGCATAATGGTTATACTTATATTTAGAACAAACAAATGGCAAAAAATAAATAAATATAAATAAGCTAATAAACAGCAAAATGTAACAAACAAAAAAGCGCAAGTAGCTTCACGGATTGGGATTAGATCCCCCGTTGATAGATGATGTCACTACGTTGAACCCCTACGCCAGGCGACCAATAGCTAATGTAGCGAAAATAGCCAATAAAAGCGTAAATCACACTAGTCAGGTGTAGGGCGGGTAACTGGTTTAACTTTCAAGGTGACATGGCATGAATCTATTGTTAAAGCACAGAAACACAATTGTTGGAGTTACTTAACGTTTATTTCCGCACTATCACTTGGAATTCTGAACTGTCACATACACAAATCGATAGATAATTTTGTAAGGATCACATCGATATATAGTTTACTGCATAGATACTGTTACTACTGTATGATATGATTTTCAAACTTAATCTCAGGTATACACACGTGTGGTCGGTAACTCATTCAACTCGCCACTCCATTTATACAAAGTATCCTCCATTTACATAAAGTAAGAAAATGTTAATGATGTGCGGCGTTACCAAGCTCGACAAAATCCGCAACGAGTACGTGCGAGGAAGCTTGGGCGTGCGCTACATCGCTGACAAGATGCAGGAAAGTAGGCTGCGATGGTATGGGCACATGAAGAGGAGGCGACCCGACTATGTAGGGAACTTGGCACTACAACTTTCCATCCCAGGTCGAAGATCCAGGGGCAGACCCAAAATACGATGGAAAGATGTAGTGGTAAAGGACATGAGAGAGTGCAAAGTCTCCGAAAATTAAGTCGAGGATAGAGCGAAGTGGAGGCGTAAGACAAGAAAGTCTGACCCCACCACCATGTGGGACACATAGCCAGGAAGAGAGAGAGAGAGAGAGAGAAGAAAATGTTATTGGCATTATGGATTGTTTGAGAAGATCTGTTAATATTCTTTCGTTAATAATTTTCGTTTAATATTCATTCGTTAATTAAAAAACTTCCATTACTTTCATACCAAAATAATCCAAATTTTTTGTATGCAACATTATTTAAGCTAATTTGCAATGAATTTAATAATACTTTTACTTCTAAAACATTCTCCTTGAATAATCGTAAAGCATTTAATGAATGGGCGACGGTAGGAGTCCAGAAGAGTAGACAAAGGTTATATGAACTTTACAATGAAAGGTCATATAATCCTAGCGTCGAATTTAGGGAATATGTAAAAAAATATTCCAAAATATTTAAAAGAGTGTGCTCCTTAGCCAAGTCATTATATTTAAGCAACAAAATAAAGACTGCTTCTAATAAAATTAAAATGACATGGAGTATAATTAATAGTGAAACTGGTAAGGTCAACTCTCGCAATTCAAACTACCAGTTAAGTTTTAACAATAAATTAACTAAATCAGATCAGGACGTTGCAATAGTTTTTGAGAAATATTTTACTGATATTCCTAACTTAACCACTAAGTCACTGAATTCTTCTCCTACCGTCGCCGAATCATTACTGAAACAAAATGTAAATGTGTGTACAAAGAATTTTACATTTCATAAAGTTTCATCAAAAGATATTGTAAAATATTTTAAGACTATTGATATTAAGAGAACCGCCGATCTGTGGGGGATTTCTGTTAAAGTTATTGCGTCTATAATAGATACAATCGCACCTCAACTATCTATTATTTTTAATAGTAGTATCAAATCTGGTGTGTTTCCTGATTTAATGAAGCATAGTAAAGTAATACCTTTATTTAAATCTGGTAGTACATTGGACCCCGCTAATTTTAGACCTATTTCTGTACTGCCAACACTTAGTAAAATTTTTGAAAAAATTATTCTTGATCAATTGTTAATTTTTTTTAAGTAAATAAATTACTTCATAAAAATCAATTTGGTTTCACAAGGGGTCGCTCGACAACTGATGCTGGTGTTGAGCTGATTAAATATATATTTAATGCATGGGAGAATTCACAGGATGCTTTGGGTGTGTTCTGTGACCTATCCAAAGCTTTTGATTGTGTTCACCATGAAACATTAATCAGGAAACTTGAACACTACGGTGTAAGATATGATGCTCTTAAATTAATTATTTCATATTTAAGTGACAGAACACAAAAAGTTGTTATTAATAGTATGAGTTCTTCCGGGTCGATTGTACAAATGGGCGTGTCTCAGGGCTCAATTCTCGGCCCCTTTCTGTTTCTTGTATATATCAATGACTTACCTTACATAGTAGGGGATAACCATGATATAGTATTATTTGCTGATGATACTTCATTAATTTTCAAATTAAAACGACAGTTATTAAATTACGACGAAGTAAATAATGCTATAGCTAAGTTAGTTAATTGGTTTAATGTTAATAATTTGCATTTGAATGGAACTAAAACTAAATGAATGAAATTCGTAACTCCTAATGTTAAATATGTCAATACTAATGTAATTTTAAATGGGGAGGAACTGAGTCTTGTTGATACCACCATTTTTCTTGGAATCACACTGGATGCAAAGCTTCAATGGCTCCCCCATATATCAAAAGTAGCTAGCAGACTTAGTTCTGCAGCATATGCTGTAAAAAAAGATTAGAACTCTTACCAGTGTTGAAACAGCTAGAATAGTTTACTTCAGTTATTTCCATAGCATTATGTCGTATGGTATTTTGCTATGGGGACACGCGACTGACAATACTTCTTCAACAAATCAGAATCTTCCACACTCTACAAGGTTATAGTACAAAATGATAGTAAACTAACACCCTTGAACTTAAAAGAAAACACTACACAAAACTCTGAAAAACTGACCGACGACAAAACAAAAATCACCGAGTGGGCTGATAAGTCTCTACATGGAAGACATCGACATGATATAAGCCAAAATAATGTCGACAAAGAAGCATCGAACGCATGGCTGATTCATTGCGAACTTTTCCCAGAGACTGAAGGCTTCATGATTGCTATACAGGATTAAGTAATAGAGACCAGAAACTACCAAAAGCATATTATAAAAATCTTAACTTCTGATACGTGCAGAAAATGCAACAATTGTCCAGAAACTATTCAACACATCACAGGTGCGTGTAAAGCAATAGCCCAAACAGATTACAAACACAGACATGATCAAGTTGCAAATATTATTCATCAAAAACTAGCCCACCAACATAACCTAATAAACTCTATTGAACCCTATTATAAATACAACCCAGAAAGCGTATTAGAAAACCCCAAAACGAAGATATACTTTGACCGCGCTATCCTCACAGATCGGACCATTCACTGTAACAGACCAGATATTACATTGATAAATAAAACTAACAAAACCGGATACCTTATAGATATAGCAGTTCCTAATACGCACAATCTACAAACTACAATAGCTGAAAAACTCTCTAAATATGCAGAACTTAAAGATGAAATAACTCGACTCTGGCATCTTCAAAAAGTAATTATAGTGCCCATTGTACTATCGACAACCGGCGTAATACCGAAGCAATTACACCAATCTGTAAAAACTTTAAATTTACCACCCAATACATAGAAACTTTTACAGAAAGCTGTAATACTGAATACATGCAGAATAGTTAGGAAGTTCCTGCAAACTGAAGAACAAACCATACCTCCTATACTTAGACAAATTGCCTCACAACCTAACACACAGGTAACTGAATAAGGTAGTTCACAGGATAGCACCAAATCCAGCACTAATATACACTTGGCTTAGGCCCGTGCTATTAGTAAACCGGTAAAAGCCGAGATATGAAAGCAAACAAAGTAATAATAATAATAATTTCTTTCAAGCAAAATTGTAAAAAGTGTATTATAATAATAATAATCTTTATTTGCAAGAATATGTTTGTACAATGGTGTTTGAGTATAATTCGTTCTACATATTCTACCTTAGTGGTGTGCAAATATTAATGGTCAAGTAACCTAAACAACAATACTTATCGAATTTAACAACATATATTAAATTAACAAAATATAAAATTATTTAATATTTTTACTTGATTTGATAATTAATTATGCCACAGTGTCAGAAAAAATATAAGTACCTAAGTATTATTATATCAAGTAAGATTATTATTATAGGTCAATGTCATATATTAATTATTATTCTTACGTCAATAATTGTATAATGTTACATATCCAATTGTCATTAATATCTTTCTATTTTTACATCAAATTTATTAATTAATTAGATACATAAGTCAAATTTTATATAAAATAATATCAAAAACATTATTTTTTTTAAATATCAAAATCTTGTAATTACGTAATTAATCCTATTCTAAAATTATCATTCATTATTACTCGTATGTAGGTCGTTGTCGTTTAAGAACTCTTCTACAGAGAAGACTTTGTCTGAGCTATGTCTGATTATTTAATTCTTTGAGCTGGAGGAGTTGTCCATTGACCACTCCCACTATTCTTTGGTGAATCGTTTTATGAGATTTGGAACGCTATTCCCTCTCAGTCTTGTGTACATGGTACTTCCAGAATCCGTTATTTTAGCAGCCAGAACGTTAATATGTGAAGTGTTTCTTTTTTTTATTTTTTTTCTCCATATTTCTTCAAATCTTTCTGACTCTGATAATATGCCCTTTGACGTGCATTCGTTTTTTATTCTTTTTAGCTCTTTACGCTTTTCTTCTCTATAAAACGAAAATATCTAGGTATAAATAATAGGTATAAATAATTAGGTATAAATAGTTTAATGACA